AGTATTAGTTATTTTATTAAGTTTAATTTATTTTATTAAGTTTTTTTCAGATTGACTTTTTAGTATTTAATGTTACTTTGTTATTTGTTTTTAAATATGTCTATATATTTCATATTTTATATTATATTTTATTCATTTTAAGTACAAACTGTCTGAATCTCATCAAGGAAATATTGAAGAAAAGTTGATAAAAGTTCAAAAAGCAAGACGTCTGAACTGCATTTAAGTGAACATTACGAACTGTGGAGCTCATGCTCTCATGTAACATATGTATTTCTCTCCTTCTCAAGGCCACGTTTAAGGGTTGGATGGAGATCATGTACGCCGCGGTCGACTCGCGATCTGTGAGTAAACCGTTTTGAGCTCATAAAACCAGATTGAAACCCATATGAACGTATCGTTTGCTAATTCCAGCGTCTCTAATCTACTGAAACAGGTGGAAGAGCAGCCCATTAAAGAGAACAGCCTGTACATGTACCTGTACTTCGTCATCTTCATCATCTTCGGCTCCTTCTTCACGCTCAATCTCTTCGTATCGTTTGCTAATTCCAGCGTCTCTAATCTACTGAAACAGGTGGAAGAGCAGCCCATTAAAGAGAACAGCCTGTACATGTACCTGTACTTCGTCATCTTCATCATCTTCGGCTCCTTCTTCACGCTCAATCTCTTCATCGGTGTCATCATTGACAATTTCAACCAACAGAAGCGAAAGATACGTATTAAACCCAGCAGAATAACGAGCATGAAGCGTGTGAATGCGATTGTGACGGTAATAATAACAGCAGAGTTTCTCTGTACTTAGGAGGACAGGACATCTTCATGACAGAAGAACAGAAGAAATATTACAACGCCATGAAGAAACTGGGATCCAAGAAACCTCAGAAACCCATCCCAAGACCTACTGTGAGTATTCAATGGATTTTGATCAAAATGAACCAATAACATCTCATTAAATCAATTTGATTTTGTTTTCTTCTCAGAACTCGATCCAAGGATTCTTCTTCGACTTGGTGTCCAAACAAGCCTTTGACATTATCATAATGCTGCTGATCATCCTCAACATGGTGACGATGATGGTGGAGACGGACGAGCAGTCTGCCAGCATCGAGTACATACTCTACTAAATGTCTTTACTGTCACTTGTGATAAATATTATGCATACTTTCCAAATAAGAGTATATTTTAAAAAGTATTAAAAATGTATTTAAAAAAATGACTGACCCAAAACTTTTGAATTGTACTGTACATGGGAACTCTAATATGATTTAAAAAGCATCCCAAGATGCACTACATGAATTTGGAGAAGCTCAGATTGCGCACTGCTAAAAAACACATTGAACCTTCTTTGGTCACATATTTGTGTTTTTGTAGTTTATTACCACTACTCCATAGTACAGAAATGGTAGATGTGTCCAAACTTTTGACAGATTCTGACAGATTTCAATTAATTTTTTTAAAATTTAATAAAAATGTATAAAAAAATTAATTGAATTGATTTTTCTTTTTCTATTTATTTAATTATGTTTAATACAAATGTAACGTTTTTCATACCACCCACCTCTTTTCCACTTTGTTCAAAATAATTTATATTATAAATAAAATAATGTAAAACAAATGTAAAGTATTATACTCTTACACATTTTATCTGCATGAGGCAGCCAGCTCTGTGTAACATCTCTCTTTGTAAGATACAGTAGCTTTACCGTGTGGCCTTGGCGTTACATATCAAGGTCTAAAGACATTCAATGCAATTTTGTAGCACTTCAGCTACTAATAAATAGACAGCCTGGTGCTTCAGTGACACAGAGAGGCGATTTTGAGAATAGACCCTGATGAGAGAACGAGGAAGGCCAGAGGGGTTAACAGGCGCAGAGAGTCCCGGAGAAAAGGGGAGATCGTTAAGGAGAAGGTAATTTGGGCAATCAGGGCTGTCAGCTCAGGGGATTGGTCAGTGATTGAGCTCTCAGTCCGAGCTAAAAGCTTGACGTGGTTTCGTGCTGCGACCCCCTGCTGCCGTCTCTATCTCCACAGGGTTAAACGCTTAAAGACACACCGTCGCAAATGTAAAAACCAGCCATTTAACTCTTAAGTGGCACAGACTCTTCAATAAATCACGGCTGGTTATTGGTCTAGTCGAAGTGTGGCGTCTGGATTCTTCTGGTGGTCATGGACTGCAAATGAATAGTTCGTGTTTTTTTCGAACCCACATGCTGTTCATTTTTTCATGCAAAGCAAAAAGTATCTTCTCACAGTTCTTTTCAATGCAACAAATGTTTCTCAGCTTTTAAAAGCAACTCAGTATTTGATATTCCTGATGCGTATTGTTAGGATGACAAAAAATATTAAAAGATAAATTTTTTTTAATTGACAATGTCAATGATTGATACAGCCTATTGAATCAAAGAAGGTAAGTGCAAATTATTTTTCAGCACGACGCTTCAGTTTTAACAGTGAAAGAGGTAAGATGTAAGTTGCTAAACGTTTATTGTTTTTAGTAAAACGATAACATCCAGCGATGTAAATTATTCAACTTTTTGTCAAATTTTACTATATTGAATTGAAAATTCAGGCTATCATTTACATGATTCATGTAATTTGTAACACTGTTTTTTCAGTATTATTGTATTAGTATCATTATCATAGTTTATATTAATATTTTGAATTAGATTTTGCGTTTTTTTTTTTTATATGCCAATATATATATATTTTTTATTTTTTTATTTCCATTTTAGTACATCAAGTTAATTTAAATGAAAAAGAAAAATGTTGTCTTGGCAACCAGGATTATTATAGTAAACTAAAACCAAAAATAAATAAATAAATAAGAACTGAAATATAAAAAACTTTTTATTTCAACTAGTTTTAATTTAGTTTAACTCGATGTAGTAAAATTATTAAAACTAAAACAGAAATAAAAAAATTTGAAAAAAGGCGAATAAAATGGCAAAAATACAACAATATAACAAACATTTTAACTAAAATAAAATTAAAACAAAATATTAAAAAAATTATTAAAAATATTAATTAACTTGATATACTAATAGTATCTTAATTATACTAAAATAACACTGTTGGCAACTAGCTGAAATTTTTTTTTTTTTTTATAGATTGTTATTTCAGTAAATATTTATTTTATTTCAAGTAACGAAAATATTTTTCATGTTTTTTTAGTTTACTGTAATAGCCCGGATTCGTAACTGAATGTGACACGACCAGAAACATTAATTAATGGAGCCATAGGCAATTAAGAGCAAATTTTTAAAATAAATATATGTTTTACAAATAGTTCCAATAGGTTACTTTGCAATAAATTCACACTCATTTCTTTCTATATTTCTATAAAAAAAGAACTCTTTGGTCCCCCCCAAGGTTTAAGACATGGTTATGACTTTTTTACAACATCATAACACCATCCATATGATTTAAGTGCGGTATTCCTAGTTTTAAAGGGACAGACCCAAATTAAAGTCATTATTGCCTTGAAATCCAAAAGCTCTAAAAAATGGTGGGTGTTGTTTTATGGAAAAGAGCAGCATTAAGGTGCTGTTTTCACTCTCGTTCCAGGTATCGTTCTCGCAGACATCATCGAGAAGTACTTCGTCTCGCCAACGCTCTTCCGCGTCATCCGCTTGGCTCGAATCGGACGGATCCTTCGGCTCATCCGCAGCGCGAAAGGAATCCGGACGCTGCTCTTCGCTTTAATGATGTCTCTCCCAGCGTTGTTCAACATCGGCCTGCTGCTGTTCCTCGTCATGTTCATCTACGCCATCTTCGGCATGGCCAACTTCGCCTACGTCAAGAAGCAAAGCGGCATCGACGACATGTTCAACTTCGAAACGTTCGGAAACAGCATGCTCTGCCTCTTCCAGATCACAACGTCGGCCGGATGGGACAATCTGCTCAGTCCAATCCTCAACAACTCTCCGGAAGAGTGCGACCCGGATGTTCCTCACACCGGGACGAACGTTCGCGGAAACTGCGGGAATCCTTCGGTCGGCATCACGTTCTTCGTGACCTACATTATTATTTCGTTTCTCATCGTGGTGAACATGTACATCGCGATTATATTGGAGAACTTCAGCGTGGCCACCGAGGAGAGCACGGAGCCGTTGAGCGAGGACGACTTCGAGATGTTTTACGAAGTCTGGGAGAAGTTCGATTCGGAGGCGACGCAGTTTATCGAATTCTCCAAACTCGCGGATTTCGCCGACTCGCTTTCCGAGCCGCTGCGCATCGGCAAGCCCAACAAAATCAAACTGATTTCCATGGACCTTCCGATGGTGAGCGGCGACAAGATCCATTGTTTGGATATCCTCTTCGCGTTCACCAAACGCGTTCTTGGAGAGTCGGACGAAATGGACGCGTTGAAGCAACAAATGGAGGAGAAGTTCATGATGGCGAACCCGTCTAAGATTTCCTACGAACCGATCACGACGACGCTTCGGCGCAAGCAAGAGGACGTTTCCGC